AACATTGAAGAAACAATGGTTTAATTTGCGAATTAGTTATAATTTTAACTTAGGCGATTCTACATAGTGCTGATCAATATGAGCTGGGATGAACCTCGTGAAAAACATTGGCTAACTCGGTCAAGTGCGAAAATTCAAAATGGCCGTCAGCCGTCGTCTTGTAATTCAAGAACAAATACATATTTTTGATGATGTATGTTCGTTTTTGTTGTTTTTTTTTGGTTCGGTGCAATTAACCTGTACATAAAGTTCACACCTAAGCACATATAGGCTAATGGAAAGGATCGAGATGATTTTCATTGTTGAACCAAGATATTACTACTTATGAAGGTTTTGTAGAGAAAAGGGTTCTTTTGAATCGTAAAGTTCAATTATATTTTGAAGATAAGATAAATATATTTTAGAACTGCATATGCATGTGTAAGTGCGGTATAAAATTCGATGTGTAACTGTTTTCTGGTATTGTGCTGTTTATTCGTCGACCTAAGGAAGACACCGTGTCGACACTATCTGATAATACTGTTGGTGACTATTTATAATATGCCATATTTCGGGCAGTGTCTCCGTCGGCACAAGTCCTCATATGACCCTAGACACTCCGAGATCGCTTTACCCGAAACAAACAAACTCAATGACCTGATATTTCAGACTAAGGTTGTTTTATTTAATTAATCATAATTAAAGATAAAACATTTGCACCCTAATCATGTGCTTCTGGTTGTTTCCTTTGCAGTCAGTGGTGGGTATCTTTGTTTTTGCCTGCAAACAAATAATTATCCATTTTTCGCTTTAACGCTTACACAAAGCAAGTTATTATCCTGATAAAAGAAATTCCTGACACCTAAAACATTTAATTACACCCAAAAGTCATATAAAACGAACATAGAAGCAAAGATATGTATTTAATATTGAATTACCAGACGCCGGGTGACGGTCATTGTGAATGTGCGCGTCTGACCGAGTTAGCCCACATTTTCACGAGATTCGTCCCCGCTCATTTTAATCAGCACCCTAAAATTGACTTAATTCAACTTACAAACCTTGGTCCGGGAGGGACGGTCATGGGAACCCTTTGTGGAAACTCTACTACTAAGACAGTATATTGATTTGGTAAAGCAACACTTTTTTCGGGATTGTCGTTAATAAACTTTAATCACTTTCATTAATAAATTTCAGATTCACATGGAATATCAGCGGTCTGGATAGGAGGACATTCCAAGAACATGGATAACAGTTTTGTTTATGAAGACGGTACACCGTTGTCGTATTTTTATTGGAAAAATGATAACCCCATAGGCTTAACATACATTCGATTAAGGTCACTCTCTAATTTTGTATGGGAAAACGCACCTGGGACTGGCGACCGCTATTTCTTATGTGAGCGGTAATTTTATCAGTGAATGAAACTGAAGCTGAGAATGATAGCGCTTATTGACACTTAGTCTGTCATCAATATATACATCGTCGTTAACGTCAATAATCGTCCTAATCATTATAAATAAGATAAAAAGGTTATAGGATGTCGAGGTTTTACAGAGACATGGTATTGGAATTTCACCATTACAATTGATGAACCATAATGAGCATGGTCAACTGAGGTGATACTGGTGTAGCTAAGTCATTGTTCTAAACGTACCATGATGTATACACTGTTCCTGTATAGAGCGTTACATTTGTTTTTCATGTGGTTATATAGAGTATTCTACAAACGATGCACATTCTAGTTCTTATTGTTTGCAATAAGATGTCCCCAGTAAGGTATAAAATCTTACAATTTGCCGGTGGAACTTAAAACAGCCTTTCCTAACAGCCTTTCCTTACAGCCTTTCTTAACAGCCTTTCCTTACAGCCTTTCCTAACAGCCTTTCCTTACAGCCTTTCCTACCAGCATTTCCTAAAAGCCTTTCCTAACAGCCTTTCCTAACAGCCTTTCCTTACAGCCTTTCCTACCAGCCTTTCCTAAAAGCCTTTCTTAACGGCCTTTTCATTACAGCCTTTCCTAACAGCCTTTCCTTACAGCCTTTCCTAACAGCCTTTCCTAACAGCCTTTCCTTACATCCTTTCCTAACAGCCTTTCCTTACAGCCTTTCCTACCAGCATTTCCTTACATCCTTTCCTAACAGCCTTTCCTAATAGCCTTTCCTTACAGCCTTTCCTAACAGCCTTTCCTAACAGCCTTTCCTAACCGCCTTTCCTTACAGCCTTTCCTACCAGCCTTTCCTTACAGCCTTTCCTAACAGCCTTTCCTTACAGCCTTTCCTAACAGCCTTTCCTTACAGTCTTTCCTAACAGCCTTTCCTTACATCCTTTCCTAACCGCCTTTTCTTACAGCCTTTCCTAACAGCCTTTCCTTACAGCCTTTCCTAACAGACTGTCCTAACAGCCTTTCCTTACAGCCTTTACTAACAGCCTTTCCTTACAGCCTTTCCTTACAGCCTTTCCTAACAGCCTTTCCTTACATCCTTTCCTAACAGCGCAGATTCAATTGCATATATGCTTTCCATACAGCGCGAATTGAATTACGAACACAATTCTATAATGCGCAAATTAAAAATCCAGATTCAACCACACATATTCCTTTCAGCGTCGATTTTACTATAGATATAATTGAGAGTGTAGATAAAGTTTCAAATGCACAATAACTTCAGCGCAGAAAAATTAAACATCCCTTTTTTCAGAGCACGAATTCAACAACAAGCACGCAAGTAAACAGTGCAGATGAAATTGCAAACGAAAATTACTTACAGCGAGGATTTACTTAAAAACACATATTCCTTACAGCGCAGCCTTAAACTAAAGTTGGAACGAAGAGTAAATTGCTAATAACAGTCTATGCAGCATAGATTAATTAATGAACGTACATTATTTAGACGGCAATTTCCCTTACAAACACATATTCCTTTTCAGTGCGGATAACGTTACAAACATACACTACAGTACAAAACAGGTGGCTTCTCATAAAACCACACATTCATTACAGCATAGAAACAATGGCCGACAAATTTCTTTTGTAAGAATGCATACGTAGTGTTATTTCCTCTCCTGTTACACTGGTGCCGTGACAAACCCTTGATTCAATCACGGGCTGAATGCGTGGCAAGGGGGATAATCGAACGTGGTTTGTAAATAGTGTTGTCTTCGAAAGCAATGAATTAGTAAAAGGAGCAGGAGCAATGAATTAGTAAAAGGAGGGAGCAATGAATTAGTAAAAGGAGGGAGCAATGAATTAGTAAAAGGAGGGAGCAATGCGAGTGTACCAGACTTGGTCGATCACCGGCGACCAGTTAGAGCGTCCGTCTAGAGTCCGGAGGGTCCCGGGTTCGACTCCCAGGCGGACTGTGCATCTTTCTCTCCTATTATTAGTTGTAATATTAACCAAACGAATCATGGAATGTTTGTAGAATAATTATATAAAAGGTACTAACTTCAGCGTTTTAAACCTCAATGTTATACATATTTTGTATTCTTCTGCTGAAAGGTTTTGATGTGATATTGAAGCATGTATGGTAAAGTAAATGTATGAATTGAACTTGTTTATATGCATGACAATTCAATTATCAAATGCAATTATTGGAAACGTTTACATGAAGATCTTTCAAAATGTGCGAGGGGAATGTTCACGGAACGTGTCCGTTGCCAACTGCGTTTATACGACCGTACACGCCGTCAAAATGTAGATCCATCCTCAAATATTAGCAAGCTCTCCTATTATTCATATCAATATCGGAATCCGTTGATTCAAAATAAATATCCGTGAATCATCATCAGCGACGCTTTTACCATCGATCATCTTCCTACCATACTTCTTTGACGACAAATTAGCAAAACAAAGGAATCCATGATATGAGTTTTCTGGTTGGTACCAAAAAAAACCGTGTTATAATAAAATCATTGTTAAAAAGTAAAATAAAAAACAGTATATTTTCCAATCAAATGCGAATCGACATCACCGTCCGTGGTCGTGGGTAATTTTGTTTCCATAGCGACCTGGTAAAAAAAAACAATAAAACTATTTGTATATACCAGACTAGTACACATCATCCATAACATTGCTCAGTTTAATATTTGAATGCAGTAGTGGGGTTTTTAATATCGTTTTTGTTGATATTTCCAGGTATTCGATTATTCTTTTCCTGACTGAGCCATTTAAGTTTAAACGTTTTAGATATTGAAATCTGCACTTATGAAATACATTGATGTATATATCAATATTTCCATTGTATGACAACCTTTCTTCAACACAAAACAAATCAACCAATATTGATATCCAATTTACTTAACATATGCATAATGTATATCATGGATGAGACCTGTTTAAATTGAAAAACATATGGTAAATATATTAAATATAGACATTATAACTGTTTCTTCTAACTGTAACGTACCTATTTCCTGCAGTACCGTACTTCCCTGAAGAATGTTGCTACCCCTGTTTATTTTGATGTTTTCCTTTTCCCTCTGAAATAATAACTGTTATACATTTCTCAATTTATAATACCCCTGTTAACCGCATCACTTCAAATATTTTCCATATCTCCTTGTATTTAGAATGCTTCACATTTCTCAATAAATCATGTTATAATGAGTTTACTATATCTTCATTTAGTATATGAAACAATTAATGTTGTAAAGTGTTTCTGTTTGTAGTCATCAATAAACTTAATGACAATTCGTCTGCTGGTATTTCTTATTGATGGAGTTTGACATACTTGCTTGTTATTATCTCTTATATGCCATAACTCACTACTCATCATAGTAACTTCACATTCAAAGGATACGTCGTGCATATCGAAAGCGTTAGTTTTACTAATTACACGAGCCTGTCTACTTGCGTAGACATCAGGAAGAAGTCCTACCCGTGTTTTAACAAACTTGGAAGAAATCCTGGATTTGTGTTAATACAGTAACGTATGAGTCAGTTGATAACTAAACAATGATATCTGTACCGCAATGCATTTTTGAAATACTTGCTTTTACTCGTCCTCCTGCGTTTCTTTTTCTTTTTTTCACAGCTGGTATTCTCCTCATCGCTAGAATCAGTGGTGCTTGATTCGCTGCTCTCTACGATTAAAAAAGTATTTTTTTCATTTATCGTATAAGTAGGGCAAATGGGGGAAAATATGAAACTGGAGAGACACACAACAAACAAGTACACATGCAGAACTCCATACGAGAGGACAGCAGCAGGAACCAAAATATTAAATCATAAAAAAAGAAAAGGCCGATCATGTAAAAAAAACAACGTGAAATTAAGTCAGCTGAAAATATCATAACCATTGCAGAAAAGGCTTCTCAATAAATCAGATGATTCTATACCTTAACGAGTCGAAACATATCCGTTGTCGTATAAGTTTTGTATACAGGTAAGTCACACCGCTATACAGTACTGGTCGAACAATACTTACATGTGTTAGCACATACATCGTAAACAAGGGATATAGGTGATCGAACAGTCTTTGACCACACAGTTATTGCAATGGAATGGACTGTTCGAGCTACTTCATAACTATCGGCATCGGAAAGCACCAACATTAAGCATACGGGATCGTCAAACGCAAACATTGGACGCTTCAAAATATAACTACCAATTTTTGAGCGACGCCAATATATATCCTTAAGTACGGTATTGTGGATTCAAATACGGATAAATATGTATCATACATTGCATATGTGCCAAGCTGTAAATTTAAGCCAAATGTGCATTAATACGGAAGCATACATCATTGAATATTTATTAAAAATACTTTTTTATTTTTATACAAACGCAGAGCAGCAGACAAACACAGGATATCTGACTTGAACGTTGAACAGGCACACAAACAAAAATAATCTTATCTGAATATCTGTTCAATACATTACCCAAATTCAAAATCGTACTATGGATACCGAAATAAATGTAATACTTTTCTGTATCATACAATATGTACCCAAAATTGTAAGTGAGAGTGCGGAATTGAATATCTATATATATCTCATTCAAAATATTATCTGATATAAAACCCTCTAGAACGAATTTATTCTGTCCTATTCTGTTTACTTGAAATTTTAGTTGTCTGTTGTAACCAAAACTCTCATATTTGAACAGGAACACATATAATCACGTTTCCCGATTTGTATATGATTCTGAACACATAAAAAATGGACTTTTATTCTTTTGACCTTCATTAAAACTGATGGGTCCGTACATGTGATAAAATATAGCTATATAGTAGAGTAAACGTGTGTTTTCCTTAAATGTATGCACCAATTTACTTAAGGTGGCTCAACACATCGTCATCAGTGTACATTTTCGCCATCCAATTATGCCAGAATTACTTATGAAGATAATACATCTTTCTTCTGGTGCTGTGAAAACAGTGGATATTTTTCGTTGAACACAACAGGTTTTATGTTTTATGAGTGTGCATAACTATATAACTCATTCGAAATATTATCTTATATAAAACCCTATTTGTGTACATCAGAGCTGCCAATAACATCCGTACTGCAAGCACAAACATTTAGTGCAGGCATATACACTTTTCAACGTTTCAATCGCGCATTGTATAGGTAACATACAATTTGTGAAACATTTTGTGTGATGGGGAAATAACTATCAATTTCATTTAGCATATATATGCATTTTGTTGACAATATATACAATATAAATAGTTGAATACGGATATTGCAATTAGTTTTCATCTACAAAGGTAATATATCTTTCTTCTGGTGCTATGAACAGAATGGATATTTTGCGTTGGAAAAACATGTTTGGAGAACATGAATGAACACACAAGTATATAACTACTAATTTCACGTCGAACGCACAAAGGGTGGCTATCTTATTTCGGAATACATTTGGAGTTACTATGTATACAGGAAGAAAGTTCGGGTAAACATCGGTTCACAAATGAAACATTTCGTCACTAACATCTGAACCCAATTATGCCATCCATTTATTATTTTGATCCCAATTTGAAAAGACAATTGTTAAAACACAAAAACGAATCTAAGCACAAAGTTCATTAAACGGGACACTGACATAAATAAAGGAGGCTGTAAACGAAATGATTAACATTTATAATACGCAACGAAACTTACCAATAATGTCGCAAACATCTCCTGTGAAACCCGGTGCACAATTACATGTACCATTTCCATTAACATTTTCGCACGTTCCCCCGTTCTGACAGGGATGAGCTCCATCGCCTTCACAATCTGTAATCGTGCTTAAAATTGTCAATATATTCTGTCATACGATAAGAAATAAATATGATATGCCACGGTAAAACCATCAAATATTTTATTTGTTACATTTTCAAACAACATAGAAGAAACTGTTACTGCATCAAAGTAATTTTGCGCCATAATTGAAAGACATTGCGATTGTCAACAGGGCTGATCACCATTTTAAATAGGCAACGCAATGTATTTCTGCCGTTTTATATTATCGTTAATTAAGGTACCGAAGATACACCAATACGACCACTTTTATGTTCGTCTCTTTGAACGAAGTGTTGTGATTGGTCAGTATCAAGTGGATGTATTCCCATATATCATCACATGTGAAAATACACCATTTTGTCTGTGTTCAGTAACATAATGTTTCATAACATAAAAAGTTCTGATAGTTAGCTGGTGAGAATGTTTTCAGTGCTATATATATTCAAAAGCGATAATAGCGCTTCGTTATGTGTTAAGTACGTGTACATTGATATATACACCTGCTCACCTATCTTTTCACAAACAGTTCCATACAGACCCTCAGTACATCGACAACTTCCATCAACACATGTTCCTCCATTTTGACACGGTGTGGTAGACCCACAACCGACAGTATCTGTGAGAGCAGACAAGACATCAAAACAACAGATTTAAACGAGAGTAGACCGTCATCGTGTGTAAGCAACATTTTGTCGCCGGTTTTTACGATCGGTTGCAGATAGGTGTAATAGTCAATTTACAAATTATATCATAGTATAACAAAATGATTTAGAAAATAACCATAATATCTTAAATGATCTATGTAAATCATACAGATACCATTTGATTCAAACAGTCTATAATAGTACTTGACGATATAATGATGATTAATTAATTAAGATTTGTACATAAAATTGAATTTTTGATAATGCTATGCCCAATATCAATTTCCCTTTTCATTATTTCTATATCTGTTTGATGTGTACAGATATAATTGATGTGTGATGGTATGTCTTATTTGTTTACATCAGAACTGCCAATAAGCACAACATCCGTATTACAAGTACAAACATTAAGGGCAATCATATAAACTTTATAACGTTTTAATCTTGCATTGTATAACATACAGTCTGTAAAAATGGCTGGTAATGAGGAAACGACCATAAGTTTCATTTAACATATACATGTATATGTCTTTTGTTGGCATTGTATAAAATACTAATAATTGAATATGGATAATACAGCTTGTTTTTATCTATGGGTGTAATGTATCTTTCTTGTGGTGATATAAAAAGATTGGACGTTTTTCGTTAGACACAATTTGTTTGGGGGGAAAATAATTGAATACACAGGTATTATTACGTCCAACGCAGAAAGCCTATTAACTACGGAAACATTTGAGTTGGTATTGGTTTCTTAGGCTTTACATGATTCCTTATCAGCAAGTCACAAACAAACCTATGTAACCACGCCAAACTTCGTATTGCAATTTACCATTCTTAGTATAGTCGTTCTGTTACACTGCCTTCTCGAAAAGAGGAATTAATGGAGTCGATTGGTAAAACAAATTTAACAATGTCGCACATCCTCCCCTCACAATTTTTCTTCTATCAGACTATTTTACTTCTCGTCACTTTATCCTACCTATTACATATGCCACTAAAAAGTAGTGTCTTCGTTATCTTATCACAAGAACTTTCTTTTCCGAGCCAGGCGAAAAGCGATGTTTGACTCACCGAAAATTTGGCGTCGTGTTTGGCCTCATCAAAAGTGAAAATTTTCCTCAACTTGAATTTATTTACCATTTTCTATCATAAACATGATATTGGTTTATTGGTGCTATCTTTCTTGGTGCAGATTTTTTCCAAAGCTCAACCATAGCAACAAAATTTCGTTGCTATGCTGAAATGAAAGCCTCCGCATATGACAAACAAAAGTTCCTTCTTCGAATGAACACTGGTATGACAGTTTTTAGGAATGTAAAATATTTATTTGTTTGGTGCATGCGCAGGATTTCAAAATTTGAAAAGTGTTAAGTTAGTTTCCTTCAAGATGGCAAATTCAACCCAATATACCACAACAGACGATATTTACGCATTTTATTATGAAAATACGTGTTTTTGTCTCTCTTTGTAATTACATATCTCCTAAACAAGTTGTCGAATGAATTTGAAACTTTATATTTGCTTACTTCATATATTTTCGATAACGAATATACCAACTAATTCTAAATCCCCGATGAGACATGAAATGACCCTTAACGCTCCTTGTCCTTTGTAAAACTGTTTTAACATATTGACATCTTTAAAACTTAAGGACATTCAATCGAAATGTGTCCACAGAATACTATACACAAAATTGAAAATTAAGACGTTTGAAAGTTCAAATGGGAAATGCTACTTTTGAAAAACCGAAGATGAAGACATGCACCATTTGTTCTTTAAATGTGAATACACTACAACTATTATAAATTATGTAGAAAACCAATATTATAAATTATGTAGAAAACCTATCTTATAAATTATGTAGAAAACCAATATTATAAATTATGTAGAAACATTAATGAGGAACAGTGTTCCTGGATATGCTAGCAATGTACTAGGCACAGAGGAAAATACATGTACTACACTAGGATATCAAGAAAATGATGAACTTTCAATATTGATCAATACAGTCATACGTATTATGAAACAGAAGGAATGGTACAAAGCATAATAACAAACAACTAAACATAGAACAAAAATGCAAATTAAAAGTCATCTGAAACATGAGCTTTGGTTATACTGTGAATCGGTGCATAAGAAAGAAATACCTGTCAACACTGTGTCATAATTGTATGAAAATATAAATTAACATCATGTTATAGAAAATAATGAACAGCAATAAGCTTATATGCCTGGTAAATCATGTCCATAGTTCGGTTATGTGATAAGAGTTGATATGACCAATCCAGGGATTGAGCTCTCGGGATAATTGATCAGGCCAACGGGAACTGAACACCTGTTTTACTTTATAAAAAAGAAATTCAAACACAAATACGAAAGCACTTAGTGCAATATAACACATAATCCAACACAATGTTACATTATGTAAGAATGTGTGTAATGCTACATTATGTAGGATTGTGTGTAATGTTAAATTATGTAAGATTGTGTGTAATGTATAATTATATAATTTTGTGTCTATTTTTTAAATATATAAAAGTGTGTGTAATATTAAATTATGTACGTTTTAAATAAAGGCAATTAAAAACATCTGATGAAAAAATTCACTACAACATTCAATGTTTTCGTCCTTCGATCACTCATATGTGATATAAGGGGCCACAAAATTGGAACTAAAATGGTCTAAACTACTGTTGAAAAACGGGAGGTGCATTAACCTGTAGATAAAATCAGATACTGGCTCGATTGGGGAATTAAGAGCTTATAGGACCAGCACAGAGATTGAGCTCGTGTGATGATCAATCAGGCTGACGAACATCCGAATTATAACTTACTTCTTGTTTATGAAAGTGCGGATATGAAGCTACCTTCTATTATACCTCTTCTTAGTTAACAAAAGAATGCTTAAAACTTATATAAATTCATCATGGCTATAGGAGTGAAAGATTAATATATATTGAATAATAGCTATCCTGCATCAGAAAAATATATTTGTACGGGGGGTAGGGTTGGCGGTCGGTACCTAGGACCTAGGGCAGGGCACTTTTACCTTAGCAACCCTCATTAGTCGACAAAGCCGTTCTGAAACGGAAGTCTTCACAATTATGACTAACCCAATCATACCGTTATACAAAATGCTTTCCAATTGTTATCAACCTAAAATGATTTTTTTAAATGGGATCATTTGTTCACTTAAGCGCTTTATTTAAGTTTACTTAAGAAAATGCTAATTTATCTTGATCAAATGTAGGTCGATAAGAGAGCGTCACGTTAGTTAGCATTGTGCTAGCTGTCACTTTACACTACAAGCGTATGCCTATTAAGATTTAGATAAAAGACACATTAGTATAATCAATTTTGACATATACAGAATTTTGAAATGTTATCATTCACTCATTATGGCGCTTAGTATAGTTTTAAAGTTGCTTCCCAAAATATACTCATATTACCTATGTAAACTGTTCATCGGTAGACGCGTGTCATTAAGGTTAGCATTGTCCTGGCTGTCACTTTAAAATTAAAAACTATGGCAGAAATATATATAAAATAATTCTGACAGACGAAAATAGATTGACCTCTATGCCTATAGAAAAAATGTTATAATAATTTACCTTGCTAAAAGGTTAATTTGTGTGTTTTTATCTAGATACGGTATGTACACGTGTATATAGTGACGTCACATTTCGAAATGAAAAACAGACGTCTTGAAAGAAGCCCTTGAAGTTACCTAATACAAATTGCATACTTATCAACGTACAGTCATCAAGCTTTCATTACAAAGGACCTAAAGATGAGATTGAGCAGATTGTTCGGAGCATGATAACATTACAGTAGAGGCACGGTAGTTTAGTGGTAGGATCCAGGGTTCGTGACCGAAGGGATGTGGGTTCGAGTCGTGTCACGGCACTGTGTTGTATTCTTGAGAAAGATACTTTACTCCGCCTGTACCAGTCTACTTAGCTGTAAATGATTACCTGGTTGGGCAATGCTAGAATTGTTGAATGCTAGCTGTGAGCGCCGAAATTGCAGCACCGACTGTATGATCCCCAGGGAATTGAGAAAGATATTGGCTGGTTGCAAAGGCCCTATAACCACGGATAATAATTTGTGAACCGCTTTGAGACGACCAACGAACTAGGTTGTGATAAAACGGTATATAAGAACCTCGTATTGTTATAATTATTATTATTATTTAAGAGTGAATGAATAATTAAACAGAATATATATATAATAATAAAAAATAATAATATACAACATTTATATAGCGCCCTATTTAATTTGTAAAATTACTCTAAAGCGCTTTACAACATATGGATAATAGTAATGGTTATAATTTTGAAAACAAAAAACAAAGGCTTACAATCACTTTTATACATTTAAGCAAGCAATGTGCACATGATTGAACAAATAAATGGGTGGTATTTACATGATGTCTTTGCAAGAATTCTAAAATGCAGACGTGAAGAGGTGAGTTTTGATGTCCCTCTTGAACTTGGCCAGGGTATTTGACTTTCTAATAGCAGATGGTAAGCTATTCCACAACGTAGCCGAAACCCTCCCAAAGTATCCAAATATATATATGTAATCCTATCCTCCGATGCATTGGATACCTTCGATAGTCAATGTATAGTTATATGTTCGAGTGTTGTGGTATAACTTTAATTTTAATAAATGACTATCAGTGGCATGGCTCAGAGGCACATAAATATTTCTTTATTGTTTTTACAATGAGTCGACACCATCACCTGTTAATTGAAAAGGTATTATTTTACCTTTACTGTTACAAAGCAGGCCAAACAGAGGTATCCATGCCTGAAACTTTATCGCTGTTACGTTACCTGGAAAAAAATATATAACAGCGATAGAAATGTTACTGTTAATATATTATTACTTCTATAGTGGTTTATAAGGTCTGTACATATGTTTAATGTCTTTATGGTCCTGTCTGTTCATGTCTATTTTGTCTTCCATT